GGCGATAACTAACCCCCTGAAAGGGCGCAGGGGCAACAGGGACATATGCAAGGGCACGGGCTCGGGAGTGCAGCGGCAGCAGACGGGCCATAACCGATCCCCCCGCCCCCTCGTCGCTCTATCCTCCTGCCCCTGCCCGCCGCCAACCCCGCCCATCGCAAGTGTTCCTGCCGAAGTCCCCCCGCGTTGCTTCTCCCCCACCTGCCCCCCCATCCGCCCCAGGGCGGCCCGCCCTGAGCCGCGGGGCAACCGCGTGGGCGACGGCGCCGGCATCCGCGCGCAGCAGCGGTCTCTCGCGCCAGCACGACAGAGGATAGAATGGGATGATTGGCGGCCCCTCCATCGCATGGGGCGCGCGCGGCAACCCCGTCAGAGGGGCGGGTCGAGCAAGGGCGGGCATGGGGCAGCCGCGACGGGCCCCGTGCTGAGGGAAGGGGGGGGGGGGGGGGGGGCATCGAGGGGCGAGGCGAAGCGGGAGGGGGGCATGTCGAGGGAGCACGCTGCCCCTTAAGGAGGGGCCCCGCCTCCCGCCAGCGAGGAAGCGACCCCCCCTGGGAAGGGGGGGGGGGGGGGGGGGGGGGGGGCGACCGCGAGGGCGCCGAAGCCCTTGGAAAGGGACAGAAGCGAACGCCTATTGAGGGGGGGCCGCGACGACGCCGACGACGGCGACGATCGACTTACCATTCATTCGCAGATGTTGCGGCTTCACGGCATTCGAATTGCAAGTGCAAGGCTCGCTTCCGCGGCAGCCGCGGGCGGTCCCGCGAACGTCGCCCCCCTGCCCCCGGCGGGCAGCATCCTCGCTTCGCCGCGCGGCGTGGCTCCGAAGAAGAAAAGAAAGTCCGACGGCCAGCCAGGCCCCGCCGCGGCGAAGAAGTCGAAGGCGGCTCCGAAGGGTCATGGGCTCGACAAGCATGAGGCCGACAAAATGAGGGCGCGGCCCCGCTGCCAGTCCGAGAGGACGGGCGCCAACGGTAAAGCTACGCGCCCACAGCAGAATCAGCCAAAGCAGCCCAGGCTACGTGGAACGGGATGAAGGACCCAGACGATCGGAAGCGCTTCTAGCATACCTTCGCGATTGATAAGGACAAGACACTGGACTAGCTGGCCACCTTCGAGGAGGATTGCGCGAACGAAGAGGTGCACGCCCGCCCTGGCAAGCAGGGGTGTCAGAAGGCATCGCAGGCGCTGGGCCCGAATAGCACCGGTGACATCGAAGGGCCCGCGGCGTTCGCGCAAGACTGGGGGGGGGGGGGGGGGCGCAGAGCACGGGTCGCAGAAGAATATCCCGTACTCCACCAGCCACTATGGAAGCAATAATATTTCGCGGTGCGCGACGCGGGCGACGACCAGCTCGCGACCAGGATTCAACCTGGAGAACATGAAGCAGCTCGCGGCCGCGGGCACCGTGCTGGCCCAGCCCCCCTCGCCCAGCTCCTCTGGGGCAGCGGCGGGCGAGGTGAAGGTCGAGAATCCGCGCGGGCAAGAGATCGCGGGCAAGATGGACGGGGTCGCGCGCCGCCCTCGGCAGACGCCCCCCCTGCACTTTCCCCTCTTCTGTTCCGCGAGACCCCTCGCAGACATTGGGGGCCATCTCCTTCGCCTCGTCCGATGCCCCTCCCGGAGGGGATCGCCCGCTGCGTCGTTTTTCAGTAAATGCGGATTTCGCGTGGGCGCCCCCTGTCGAGGTCAACGCTGGCCAAGCGTCAGAGACATCTCAAGGGCATGAATGCGCGAATAACGAATTGATCGCGAAGGCGGCGGGCGATGGGGCAGAAGGACATGCAGAACTTCGAGAACTGGGCTAATGAATGCAAGACGTGCACGAAGACTCCGGGCCAGCACGATGCGAAAATGGAGATCCGCCTGGCCAAATTTAGCAACGCGGCTCCTGTCGGCAAGGATGCGGAGATGCACGCGAAGCTGAAGGCCGAGGTCGCTGCTGGCCACAGCACGATGGAGCACGCGCGCGAGGGCATTCAGATGTCGCTCGTGCGCTTCCAAAAATTCCCCCACTGAACTGTGGGCCTCAATTCGCACACATACCTACGCGCATATATACTGTCGGGTGGGAAGCACTGCCTCGCCTGACAACGAGAGCGCAGCGCAGCCTTGGTTGCGTCGCCGCGCAGGAAAATATCACGTTCCACTTCTTCCCCCTCTGCGAGCGGCCGCGCTTTTCCTCCGCCGCCCCCCCCCCCCCCCCCTCCCCCACGCGCGCAGGCGCGCAAGGCAGACTTCTCGCCGCGCGGGGGCATGGGGCCTGGAAATCATTGGCCAAAATTAGAATGACGGAGGGCGCTGCAGGACAGGAGAGCGGTTTCTGGACAGATGGGGGGGGGGGGGGCGCGGAAGGGCAGGGGGGGGGGGGGCGGAGGGCGGAAGGGCCAGGGCACGCCGTGAGATTGATGGATCCCATCCAGGAGGGGCGCGGCGCAGATAAACGTTGTCTTGCCTCGGCCTTTCGTTTCCGTTGCGCTCGCTCAAGGCATCGGGCGCCCGCGCCCGCCCCCCGCGGGGGGGGGGGGGGGCGTCGGAATGCTTTCCGAGCGTAAGTTGCCTCACGGCAGGCTTCACTAGCCACCGCAGAGGCGGCTGAGGGCGAACGTGGAGGACCTGATCAGCAGCAGCGTGGTCAGCGGGCAGCGCAGTGCTCAGTTGATCAATGGCGCCGTCTTCTCTGCGTCTGCGACAAGCGTTGCCGACCTGCAGGCCTCTGAAACCACGTCGGGCATGAAAAACGCTGCCGGGAAATTCAGGCTCCAATTCTCCCAGAAGGGGCGGCCTCCGCTTCATCGCTGCAGGGCGAGGGGCTGCTGCCCCAAGTCTGAAACAGAACGGCCGGTGGATGTAGCGATGATGTTTCCACGCGAGATCCTGTTTAAGCTTCATCATTTTTGCAATCGGAGCGTGCTCCTGGAGACGCCGAGTCTCGACGGCGTGTCTTTGCGCCACGAGCAGGGGGCGAGAACTGAGGGCGGTTGCAAAGACATGGCGGCCCTGGGCGCACAACAGGACGGAGCCCCCATCTTCTGGGGCCGGGCGACGGGCGCAGAAATCATCAGCCTCGCGCTGCCAGGGGCTGCAGGGAGCTGGGGGAACATGCTGGCACCGTTCGCCGCGTTCCTCAAAGAGCACGTTTTCCGTTTGATGATATCTTCGCTGTGGCGCAGTGGCGCCCCATTCAAGTGGCTGCGAAGCGCTGGCCGACGGCGCGGCGCGGCGGTTCCACTTTCGGCGCGGCAGACGTCTGGGGGAGGCACCAGCAGGCAGCTTTACCGATTGGCGGAGTACTTTGCCAGATCAACAGGGGCTGGAAGATGATGAAGGAGGTGCTCAAGCTACCTGGCAGATAGGGGCGAGGAGCTGCGCTTCCTGTGCAAAAAACGAGAAGTTCGAGGCCCGTAACGCCCGAACCTTCATGGCCGCTAGTGGGTGTCCGTCCCATCTGGAAGGCAACGCCCCCCTCTTGGAGGGTGGTCGTCGATCGCGGCCCCCGCCGCAGGGCGCGGAGCGGGCAGGAGAAGAGGAGGGGGGAAACGG